ATCTCTCTCTCTTAAAAAAAAAAAAACAAAACTATTTCCTTCCTCTTGGGCATGTAAGACAGCTTATGGGTGAGAAATCAGAGAGATCTTACCCACCTGTTCTTACCCTAGCACACAGGGAGCTTTTAAAGCACACCAATGACAGTTCAACCCCTACAGATCAGGACTTTTAAAAGGCTCTGTAATTCTAATGCACAGCCAAGGCTGAAAACCAACTCAGGACTCATCAATGGACCCATGTGAGCCCCAGGTGAGGAAATCAGCACTATGGGAATCACTGAGGCACGGCCATGGCTAAGACGGTGAGTGCTGGAATCTAAGAGCCTGGGTTCGAGTCCCACCTCTGCCACTTTGTAGCTGTGTGCTCTCAGGCAAGCTACTTCCCACCTCTGATACAGGCTCTGCACCTGTAAAATCGGGATGATACGTCTTCATAGGAAACTTTGCAAGGCGTGAAACAAAGCTGAAATGTCCAGCACAGTCATAAACCGTAAGCACCACGCAAAGAGAAGCCTCAACCACAGGGTGGAGACGTGCTCTGGAACGTGACCATGGCTCTCTGCCCAAACACGCTCATGGGGGCTAACAGCAGGGCAAAACCCACCCAGAGTCTTGCTACCAAGTCATGAATCTGCACATCACAAGTTGCCGCCACCCCAGCATCCCCCGGAGAGGACTGGGCAAGGAGCCCTGGCCCACTGCCCAAGGGCTGTCCTGTGAGGGGGCTGCAGCGTTCCTCCTACCACATCCAGCCCCATCTACCTTCTCAGGTTCATGGACCAAAATCATCAGGGCATCCCCAGGGAGCTTGTCAGAAAGGCAGAAACTCAGGGTCCCCATCCCAGGTCTGGTTGAGGGCAAGAGCCTCTGCCTAGGCTGAACGTACCCAGGAAGCTGAGCCCAGGCCTCCTCTGCCAATCCATCCTGTGCGGTGGGGACAGGCAGGGGGTAGCTCCCTCTTCCTCAGAGTGACTCAGACTGCAGCTGATCCAAATCTTGGCCCTGGAGACCACACTGAGGTCACCCTCCTGGCAGCCGAAGTTGCTGAGATGAACCAGGGGACATTTCCATCTAGCTGCCGACATCATCTCGACCTTGGTGGCAGCTGACTCCCTTGGAGCAGATTCTGCTGCCCTGACTGGCCTTGGCCTCCCAGGGAGGTTCTCATAGGCCAGCTCCCAAAGCAGAGTGTGTCGCCTACATGTGGGGCAGTGCTGCGGAGCAGGGCAAGCCTGGGACATGCTCAGGGAGAGACGGGGAAGGCTGGGATGGAAGATGCCAGGTCCCAGTTCCACAGTAGAAATAGGGCAAACAGCATGACTCCTACCCCAAACATCCTCACTTTCACCTGGAACCAAAGTCTGCACCAACGGGGAGAATAGCAAGTCCAGCTCCTGGAATTCAGGCCCCAGCTGGCCTGGCCTCAGGCCCGGGGTTCAGAAAATGAGGATAAGACTCCGATCCTTTAGCAGCCCCCTCTCGCCCCAGCGAGGCCTCTGGAGCCAAGGCCACTGTCCCCAGACCTGCCTCTTAGCCCTCACTCGCTCCACAGCCCGCCAAGGGCGGATCCAACTTGTCTTTCCAGCTGTCTGGGGCCGCGCTTTAAACAGAGCCACAGGGCTGTGGAAGGCCTCCAGCTCAGCTCATTATCGGAATTTAATCTGGATTCCCAGAGATCAAGAGGACTCAGTGGAAAGTGACTCCCACAAGGGGAGAGACGCTGAGGCCGACCCAAAGCCAGCTAATCCCTGGCACCCCCGGGGCTTTCCTGGAGCTCAGGCACAACTTGTCAGATGTCCCAGCCCTGCACAGCTGGACGGCTGGCGGCACAGAGACCGAGGCAGCCACACGGCGGGGGCAGCAAGGCAGGGTCTGGGCTCCCCTGGGCTGAGATCTGCAGGAGGCCTTCAGCTGGAAGAAGCCACGAGGGCCCAGGTTGGGGACACGCAAAGAATAGCCCCATCTCTGAACAGGCGAGCTGGCAGAAGCGTGGGGGATTCGAAGAGCATTTTCAAGCTCAGGGCTTTGTTCCCACTGGGAGACTGCAGAATTAGGGGAACTGGCTCAGTGGACATACACAGGAAGGCAGTGCCACAGCCACCACCCAGGGCTCTTATCTTCCCAGGGAGGTCTTGCTCCACTTCCTGCCGTGATGACGATGATACTAACGCAGGTGACCATTTATTGAGCACTTGCTGTGTGTGAGACACTGTTGTAAGTATGTCACCCCTTCCATCCACAGCACAACTCTGGAAGGGAGATCCAGTTATTATCCCCATTTTACAAAGGAAAAAACTGAGGCTCTGAGAGATGACTCTTTCCCAAGGTCACACGGGTACCTGGTGGCAGGATTTGAATCCATGCTTTTAATAGCTGGGGAACTACATAATAGGGGTATCTTGGTTCTAGATTCAAAAACAAAACAACCTGTCCAAAAAACTGAATAAATAATATTTTTTAAATTTAACCATTTAACTTCCGAGGAATGGAGGCTCTGCTGCAGGAGGCACAGGAAGAACGTGTAGAAACCTAAAGAAAGCGGCTGGGTCTTTCCCTCCACTGCTTCTCACCCTGTTCCCTTCCCTGCTCAATGCTCCCACCTGCCATGTCCTCTCCTCTGCTGGAACGTGAGCTCCCAGAGGGCAGGGACTCATGTCTAGTTCATTCTGGTCGATGCCCTCAGGCATGGCATGCAGCAGGTACCTGTGCTGAGGGGGGACTCAGCCACCCAGCAGCCTAGAAGCCCCCAGGAGTAGGACCCCAGCACCAGAATGGGCATCCCCAGCCCAAGTTGCTTGCTGCCAGCAGCCTGGCAGGGAGGACGCCTGGAACGCCCGTCCCTGCTCCAAACACAGTGCTCAGGCCTGCTGCCCAACCCTGCAGCCCTCAGGATCCACCCCGTGGATCTCAGGCAAGACAGCAGAGACACCTCAGACCATGATGGGACCAGGTACCCATGAAGCCAGCAGGAAGGACCAAGAGCTGCCAGAGCTGAGTGGAGAATCCAGATAACAGCCTGGACAGAGAGGCTGTGGTTTCATCCTAAGAAAGAAGCTCCCAGGCTGCTGGGAGTAGATGCCGATGTCACCTCCCAGGAGAGCTGCTCAGCAGTGTCTACCAAAGCCACCCACGTGTGGGCTCTCTGACCCCACAATTCTACCTCTAGAACTTTATCGGACTGATAGACATGAACAGGTGTGTCAGCGAGGGTACCTGCCCTGTGGCACCATCCATCATAGAACAGAGGGGCCAGCGTGCACACATGAAAGACAGCACACCCCACGCTGTGGAACAGTGAGGTGACTCAGAGGACGAGGGCACCCCGCGTGAACCACTGGAAAGGGCTGCCAAGGTTCATCATCCAACGATGAAAGCCAGGGGCAGGAGTGAATGCACTGTGGGGTGCCACAGGTGAAAACAGCAACACAGATCCCTTCGCTGATTTCAGATCCAAGTTTCCAGTAGACTCAAGTAACTGGCAACTGAGGCTGCCTCAGCAGGAAACTGAGAGCCTTCATTTTTCACTGTGGTTCCTTCTCTTTCCTTTTGATTTATACCATAGGCATGTCTGCCTCTCAAAAAACTCTTTTTTTTTTTTTTTTTTTTTTTGGGACAGAGTCTCGTTCTGTCACCCAGGCTGGAAGTGCAGTGGCATCATCTCGCTCACTGCAACCTTCACCTCCTGAGTTCAAGCAATTCTCCTACCTCAGCCTCCCAAGTAGCTGGGATTACAGGCCACGTGCCATCTGCCTGGCTAATTTTTAATTTTTATATTTTTAGTAGAGACGGGGTTTCACCATCTCTACTGGGGTTGGCCAGGCTGGTCTTGAACTCCTGACCTCAAATGATCCACCCACTTTGGCCTTCCAAAGTGCTGGGATTACAGGCGTGAGCTACCACACCCAGCCTAAAAACAAATTTTTGAAAGAAATATCGTCCATAAGCGTGGGCTCCAGCTTTGCAAACCTGGGCTCATGTCCTAACGTGGCCACGTTCTCTCTGGGTGGCCTCATTCTTTGGCTTCGGGCCACTTTAGTTCTCCCCGTTTTACAGATGAGCCACCACTTCTGAAGGCTACTGTGAATGTGAAACAAGATATCTCAAGTGCAACACACTGGAAACGCTCAAGACAGTTTTGTTTTCTTGGTACTTAGATGACCACCCCTCCCCGCCCCCGCCAAATAGCAGTGCTTGGCAAACGTGGTAGTGATGGTTCTTCTGTCCCTGTCTGTGGTAGCAAGTCCCCTTTCTAGCTGAAGATGCTAGGCCTGCACATCACAAGGAGGTGCCCACACCACCTTTCTTCCATTAATTTCCCTGCCCAGTGGGGACAGTAGACGTCTGACAGCCTGAGGGGTCCAGTAACCCAGCCACTAAGTAATAGGACCTTGGTCATTTCCGCCTCCGGACTGTCTGAATAGAATGCACCTGCTAAATGTCCCAGCCCTTTTTCTTAGCCTCCTTATCTCTCACAAGACCTTGAAATTAATGCATCTCGATAAATTAAAGACTTTCAACACACACGTTTGGTTTCTGACCTAGTGATTCTTGGAAGCTGAGAGTTCTCTGTTTATTTTTGGTTTGGGTTTTTTTCTTCCCCTAACATTTTATTTTAGATGGCCACCTTAATTGGTTGCCTGACATCATGCACTGGGTTTCAGAGTAAGGAATGGGAGAGAGGTAGCCCTTCAAAAATGTTTCTTCCCCTTCCCCTTTTCTTCTATGTCCCTTAGCACCCAGCCAGATCCAGACTTCCTATATATACCCATATGGCACCATGCATCCTCGGGCTCCCTGGCCTTCTACTATTCCTGAATTTGTTGTCGGTCATGGTTTTAAGAAAGTGACATACACCATACACCTTCTTTAGAAGGGATAATCTGGTACAGGGCCTGGCATGTGGCTGCACCAATCTGTCCCATCCTCTGGCCATCATCCCCTTTTTCCTCTGCCCCCAGAGGAAACTCAGCACCTCTCCCAGATACTCGTATGGCACCCACCTGCCCAAGTGCTCCTGGAGCACCTGATAAACGCTGATCCGGAACGTCTCATTGTCAAAGCGTTCCCGGATGTAGTCCTTGTAGATCCGGAATTCGGCTGCCGTAACAGCTTCCCCTTCTGGGATCTTGGAAAGATCAAACCGGAACTCTCGATGGTGGTAGCGTGGGTGGAAGAATTCCTTGTCATGTTCCACTGGAAGAGGAAGAGAACGCACATCAATACCGACAGCTTATTAGTGTCTGGGTTTCACTCTCAGGCTCTAAGTTCAAGCATCTTGCCTAAGCTAGATGGAGGCATTCCTGTTGCCAGTGACCCCAGTGACAACTGCTCCTTCCAGACTGACACACTGCAGACTGGAGGGTCACGGGCTCAGACCCCACGGTCCCCATGGTCATCCTGAACGACAAGAGCATGATTTTGCGTCCAACCTGCTGGGAAAAGTAGAGCACTAACCACAGCCATCCAAGAAGTCCTGGCCAGACTCAGCTCCCAGGGGCTCAGGCCTGGGTTGGAATGTGGCCTTAGCCGATAACCAATAGAGTGGCCCTAGATAAGGTAACAAAAAACCTCTATGGAACCCAATTTCATCATCTAAAAAATGGGGATCATAATCCTCCTTCATGGGTTGTGGTCTGGGTTGAATGATCTCATTCACACAAATAGTTTAACATCTGCTAGGGCTGGGTAACTGTTAGCTATTGTTGGTAAGGCAGAAACCTTACCATGCCTACTATGGGACGTCTCTAGGACCAAGGGTTCTCAGCCCTGAATGCACATGAAAATCATTGTGGAAACTTCTAGAAAATATCGATGTCCTGGCCCAGGTGTGGGCTGGTAAACATTTAACAACCGGCTCTCTGGGGCCTGATCTGAAGCGCCTGCTGACTCCACAGTGTAAATACCACCGTCTTGGCAGATTCCAAGATACCAACGTGAGGTCGCTGGACATGGATGGCAAGAGAAGCACACAGCGGGCTCCAGCCCACAGCTACTCCTACCCCCTCCTGAACCAAGGGAATCAATACCTTTTTAAAGCACCCCCAGATATTTCTAACGAGGTGCCAAGGTTTACAGTCACAGCAGCAGACTAACAGCAGTAAAAGAAGTGAATGGCAGAGTGGGGGTGGGGGTTGAAAATGACTTCAAGACAAAATAAGGCAAAAGGCCTCCACCCCTGTGCCGTCTTCTGGCAGCAATATTAGACTAAGATGCCATTTCCATTTCATGAGTGGCACGCACCAGGATGAACGCCCAGGAATGGTGTTTCTGGGTTGAGAGCTGTGGCTCCTGTGGATCATGCCCCCTCTGGACCAACACAGAGCAGGAATGACACCAGGAGCCACAGAGTGCTGGAAGGGACAGGATGACCACACTCGGGCCAGTGGGCAGAACCTCCAGACACCTTTCATCTGCTGGAAAATACAAGCCCATCTCCACTTCCTGTCAGGGGGTGGGGAACTGGAGAGAGAAGGAGAAAGAGCAGAACCAGTTTGGCCACCAGATTGGTCAGAAGAAAGGAGAAATACGATCAGCAAGTTCCAGCTCTCAGGCTGGGTTATGGCTGCCTGGTTCCCAGTGGGACAGCAGGATGGGAACACCAATGAGGAAGAAGTTCACAGCACTGGCAGTCCCAAGACCCCGGCTGCACTGCTCCATTAAAAATAATCTGGTTTAAACCTTAACAATAGTCCAAAAAGAGAGCAGGGTGAGAGCAGGGAGCGTGGGGGAATTATCCGCTCAGGTTGTTCCCTATCAGGAAGAAGGGGCAGATGAAGTCCCTGAGGCTGGGGGCTCTGGCTGGGCACAGGAGCATCCCTGTCTTTGGAGACACCTCAGGAAGACGACCTCTGAACCACAGGTGCTAGAATCCTGGGCCATATATGGAGAGCTGGCAGGAGGGAAGGACTCTGCAGAAACTGTTCCAGGGTTCCTCCAGATGACAGCTCTCCTTGTCACAACATGCCCCTCATGCCCACAAGGAACCCTTCTCTCCTGACTAATCTATGGGACAGGCCATGACTCCACAGTGTAAACACTGCCGTCCTGGCAGATTTCAAGCTACCAACGTGAGGTCGCTGGACATGGATGGCAAGAGAAGCACACAGCGGGCTCCAGCCCACAGCTACTCCTACCCCTTCCTGAACCAAGGGAATCAACATCTTTTTAAAGCACCCCCAGATATTTCTAATGAGGTGCCAAGGTTTACAGCCACAGCAGCAGACTAACAGCAGTAAAAGAAGTGAATGGCAGAGTGGGGGTGGGGGTTGAAAGAGAGAAGAAGGCCATGGGGATGTCACCAATCCCCCCCTTTTATTTACAGAGAAGGCAGGAGTCTCTGTAAAGGGCAGCCACTTGGGAACCAAGTGAGCCTCTGGAGGTGACCCCAGGTGGGAAGGCAGGGCAAAGGGTCTGACTATGTACCGTGGGACTGCCCGGGGCCAGTCCTCTGTCACCTTTCCAGTTCAGTCGACCCTCATGCCAGCCCTAAAAGATAAGCAGCCCGAGGAGGTGAGTACAATCCCACATAGGCAGGTGGAGCATGCACCTGAGACCCAGGAGGTGTCCAGTGACCTCCCCAGGGTCAAAGACCTGGGATTCAAGCCCAGGTCCTGCCCAAACCAGAGGCCTGAACCACCATGCATCTCTGTGGCTGCATGAACAGCTCAGCAAGGGACGTTCCTTTGCTTGCTTGCTAGAACTTTTTAACTGCACTGCTGCATACATGTAGCATGTGTGTAAACCAAAGTAAACCCAGTCATGGAGATTCCTCTGGGTTAAGAGACAGAACACCCCATTTCCCTCCCTGGACTTCTCAAACTACAGGTTCGTTTCACCTGGTTTTGAACAGTCCCTGCAGGGCCTCATACACTATACCCTCTTTGGTATCTGGCTCCTTTCATTTAGCAGTGCTGGTGTAATTCATCCACGTCACAGCGCATGCTCGTTCATCCTCACTGTCGTATGACAGGCCATCGTTGTATTAGACCACAATTCATGTATCCATTCGACGGTTCATAGGCATTCAGGGAGTTTCCAAATTGGGGCTCTGAAAGCAGTGCTGCTATGAACATCATAGGGCATGTGTTTCATGTCTAGAAGTGGAATTGTGTATGTACAGCTTTAGTTACCCTGGAAGCTGTTCTCCCAAAGCATTGCATCTAAGAGGTTTTGAAGAGTGTGCTAGGAAAGAGGTGGAAGAGGCCAGGTCTGCCCATGAAGGAGGTGGCACAGTCTTGGCACAACTCATGGCTTCTCAAGTGCTTTTCTCCAGGGGACCAGGAGAGGTGAAGCACAGATGAAGTCTTGTTCCAACCATCTCTGTTCTCCACCGGAGCACGGCCAGGCCTCCAAAGGCCAGGAGGAGCCGTGATTCAACTTTCAGCAGAGAGGGTTGCTCCTGCAATCATGCACAGGAGCAAAGTGCAATGCCTTGAACACAGTGGGTCCCCAGCAAATCTCAGTTCCCTGCTCCCAGCGCTGGATGAACCCAGCTTCAGAACAGCCCCACTGGGAGATACACAATCAGACTGAGCAGAGAAAGGGGCTGGGGAACATCTGCTTCACAACTGAGGACGGCTGAAGAGCCCAGAAGTGCAAAGTGCATGTTTACTGAGTGCTTATTCTGTGAGCCCCACACTGAGCACCCTTTGCCAGCATCTGATGGAACCCACGAGGCAGGATTGATCCCCATTTTACAGATGAAGAAACTGAGGCTCAGGGAGGCTAGGTAACTTTCAAAGGTCACAAGCCAGGTGAGCGGCTGAACTCCAAAGCTCACCCTCTTGACCTTCACTCTCTAGTGCCAGGTGGCCTGAGTTTGATCTTGGCTGTGCCACTTACCAGCTGTGTGACCTTTCCAAGCTACTTAATCCCTGTGTGTTCCCCTCTCCCTAGAGATAGTAACAATGACCCTTTCTCATGGAGTTGTTGGGAAGATCACAGAAGCCATTTGCTCACAGGAGAAAGCCACAGGCGACCCATTTGAGTCTGCCATTGTTACAGGTCCTCCAAAACAATGAGCCAGAAGAATGACAATCAATGCAGAAGAAGCAACGTGTGCTGTGGGCATTTACACAGTGCACTTATGATTACATTTGAAAATAAAAAGTGCAATAGACCGAACAATAAAGATATGTTTGAACAAGCATGACATAAACACAGGTACCATCATAAGAGTCATGCCCAACGAAGAAAGAAAACACTGATACATAATCACAAACACAAGGTTTGTTGCAACAGCTGCAGGTACAACTGTTTTTATATGTAAGATAAACTGTATCTTAACTGTTAAGGTATCGGGGTTACAAGGTTTCTCTTCTAAAAAGCAACTCAGGGATAAAGTGAGGAACTAAATTTCTTGCAAACATTTGTGGGCTCCTTGGTATGGCTTTCTGAGAGGATTTCCTTCATTAATTAATTGGAGACTATGAGAAGTAGGAGCCACAATATTACTCTATTCTCCCTGAAACCCACATTGTCACATGTTCTGAAAATAATTTTGTATCCATTATCAAAGAAAGAACAGTCATGAAGTACACACACACACACACACACACACACACACACACACAAATAAGCAGTGGATAACTCAAAGTCCAAACCAAATTCCAAATCTCATCTTTCCAAGGTTTTCACTCTACAGCATGGAATCTGCACCATTTCAACTCAAGTCTCGACGATTGAATTGTTACCACTAAAATAGGTAGAAGCTTGCATGTGTTTTTCAGGTGAAAATATGTCTTTATACTTTATTCTAAAGTTACTGTATATAGTTGATTACCCAGGACTTGAGTTTTAAACTAAATGTCTAGAGTTGACATCTCCCCATGCCCACAGGGAAAAGCTTCCTTAGGAAGCCAAGAGCCTAGGATTCCAGCTTTTCCTCCCTCTACCTTGTTACATCCCAGCACCCCAAGGGCTGAGAGAGCTCACAGGCATTAACAAAGGACTTTCAGCTTCAAAAAATTAAAAGGACCTAAATCCCCAAGACCAAAAGATAAGTCCAAAGAAAATGGGTTCCAGAAAACACCATCCTGACAGAAAGCAGCCCCATCACTGTCCCAAAGACAAGACCAGTGTCTTTCTTTTACAAAAACCCGAAATAGCCCCAAAACTGACCCTAAGAGGGGAAATTCTGGGCTGGAGGGTGTCAATAATGGGTTAGAGGCGGGTAGGAACAAGAAGCTGCCCAC